ATATCCTTGACGTCTCTCACTTGCCCTTGAGATTCAGATATATTATCTATGGAGCTATTAATGGTTAACTGTACATATATCCTTGACGTCTTTCACTTGCCCTTGAGATTCAGATATATTATCCGTGGAGCTATTAATGGTTAACTGTACACATATCCTTGACGTCTCTCACTTGCCCTTGAGATTCAGATATATTATCCATGGAGCTATTAATGGTTAACTGTACACATATCCTTGACGTCTCTCACTTGCCCTTGAGATTCAGATATATTATCTATGGAGCTATTAATGGTTAACTGTACATATATCCTTGACGTCTCTCACTTGCCCTTGAGATTCAGATATATATTTAGCACTCTAAACTTGAGATGTAAATATGTTAATATTTTGCTAAAATTTGTTTCGTTCGGTTGTCTATATTGGTGTTACATAGACAAGAGTGACTGTGAAATACAGGGAAAGAGTCACTGCCTTAATCCCCTTGTTTAAGTGATATCGGTGGAAGTCATACTGGGGCTATAAAGCCCACAAAGTAAGAGAAAGACAAATGATCCCTGTTACTTAGGGTTGTAACTAAAAGCTAGACTAGACAAGCAACATACGGGACATTGACAAGGAAATGAGTGATTCTGTTTCACATCGTCACTTTTAAAAGCTGTCATCGAGCCTGTTAGGGACCAGTTGAATACCCCCCCCCCCCATTTGTCTTATGTTTGTAGCTCAGAGATAGAGGAGCCAATACCAAACACACCCATCCCCTCCGAAAATACAATGTTTTCTCTTTTTTTTGTAATACATGTGGTGTAGTTGATGGGTGATTTTTTTTCCAACAAAAACAATCTGTGCATCATATATTGATGTAACACTACCTAGCTTGATGCAGGCTTATCCACACTTACGTTTATAGAACTTAGGTGTTTATATAATTTAGGTGAACTTTCTAGGTCGGTTACAAAATTGTATGCTTCTGTTTATGCATTGCATTTAATTTATTTCATAGTTTATATTTAAACTAATCACAAGGGTCCTTAAACTAATGTCTGGTCCAAAATGTATAATCAACAGTGTCTTACCCAAACCCATCCCAGTGTATAACTGACAACGAATCTGGATACATATTAGAATAAAATTCATCTCGTTTCATATATTGATACAACGTTTTAACTTATAACATGACGAGTAAATTATAACTAAGTGAACTCCTGTTTTATTATGTAAGATTTATCTATTTGTAAAATTATATAATGCCTGGAATTTATCATCTGTTAAATATTCGTTTCAGTGCTTAATTTGTAGAGAAAAAAATATCTGATCCGTTTTGGCGGGTAGAAGGTACTTTGAATTTTGGACCATAACAACTTAAATGTTATTGAGGCTATTATTTGGAATGGAAATAAAAAAGAATGATGTATTTAAAGCCTTGTTTACCTCTGCAAAAACGTTATTAAAAAAAAAGAACAAAATAACAGTTCTTAACTGTTTCTGGAAAAATTAAGAACAAAATATGTTAATTAGCTTCATTAAAATGAGTAATACTGTAAAATAATACTATTAAAATTTAATTGCTCTTACTTAGGGTTTTCTAAGCACAATTACAATCAGTACTTAACTTAAAGCCTTAAACTATTAGTTTACTATTAACAGTGAACTCTGCTTTAAAGCGCATTAAACTTTGACTAGATTTTCCAACGTCATTAGGCACTAATAATCCACTCACCTAGTATAGTCAGTTCTACAGTAGACATTGTCGTCCCTGAAAAAGCACGAAGGGTGACGATCCAGCAAGGCTTGACATACACAACACTTGAGGCAGTGGGCATGCCATGACTGACCATTGACCTTAAGCAGAAACCGGTCAGTGATAAGTTGGTCACAAACATAGCAGTGCTCTTGTTCTGTCTAGGGGGGAAGTAAGGGGTGAATGTTTTTATAGATTAGTGCTGTAAAAATAAACATTTTAATAAAACACAAGTTCCTGATCATATTTGTATTTAATGTACCTGTTTCATGGTAAACACATGACGTTTTCACACGTTATTCGTAGATTCTTTCAATAGCTTTGATTTATCATACAGACTCAATAAAACATAATAAAATACATAACGAAAAACCTTCATAACTTGGTTCTAAGTTTTATAACTGACGCATTTACAAACATGCACTACTGCTGTAAGTTCCCAACAAATAATATCATTACTATTATCTGCGTCTTTAAAAAAATAGATAATGAAACGTATAAAACAGAGAAAATAGTTAATGATTCATGATTCCATGTAGTATTCCCGTGTGCAATTTCTAACAAATATTTTGATGCAGGCAATAAAACAAAACTGAAACTTAAAGCCTTTATGAAATTAATTGATGAGACATGGTCATTTTACTTTAGGCTTATCAAGTATGTCTTGAATTACTTTGTTTCAGTGCGATTAGGCCTTTACAGACAACGTAATAAGTCATTTTAAGATTAATCGAATAATATTTAATCTGTTTCATTAGTATTTCTAGGTTTTAATAATAACTTCAAGTAGTTGTTTTACAATTTGATCAAGTTTGCGAATATGGCTCTTAAATAGGAAGTCATTAGGCCTAAAAAAAAGTGTTATTGTATTTTAAAACGTATTGTCTATGATTATCAGCATCGTGGATTTGTAAATAATTGCATGGATTCAACTTCTGTTGAAGTGATTAATTATCTTGTAATAGTACGGGATAAATATTTGGCCTAAATATTGATCATGTAATTACCTTTCCCATACAGCGATTTTAATCTTTTTTTTTTCATGCTCGTACTTTGGTATATGATACAGAATACTGCTTAACCAGTTGCAAACAATAGTAGATGTTTGTTTTTATTTTCGGCTAACCTCATTCTTTATCAGGTTATTTTATTTATATGCAATCCCGGGTCTTCAAATATTTGATGCTTATCCTTTTATACATTGGTTATTTTCTCTCAGCACTTTAGGCCTAGTTCAATGTGAAAAATGCTGTTTTGTACTGTTAACTGTTCTGTATTGTTGTGTACTGTTAACTGTTTTGTACTGTTAATTGTGCTGTATTGTTGTGTACTGTTAATTGTTCTGTATTGTTGTGTACTGTTAATTGTTCTGTATTGTTGTGTACTGTTAACTATTCTGTATTGTTGTGTACTGCTGTTAACTATTCGGTATTGTTGTGTACTGCTGTTAACTATTCTATATTGTTATGTACTGCTGTTAACTATTCTGTATTGTTATGTACTGCTGTTAACTATTCTGTATTGTTGTGTACTGTTAACTATTCTGTATTGTTGTGTACTGTTAACTATTCTGTATTGTTGTGTACTGCTGTTAACTATTATGTGTTGTTGTGTACTGTTAACTATTCTGTGTTGTTGTGTACTGTTAACTATTCTGTGTTGTTGTGTACTGTTAACTGTTCTGTTACCTTTAAACATTACGTTTTTATCTACACCCCAAGGACTTTCAATTTATCCTGTAATTCTTCCTCTCTTGATTGCCCGTTCCAATTTTAGTCGAATTCAATCGCTAACCTAGGCGTAAATAGCTCCTAAATTTCGGTACTTTTTCTACTATATAAAAGCCTATCAAGGAGGGAGTTCCCAGGACCAGGTTAGGCATGGCATTATGTATGTGACGTCAAGCTAGGAAAAATCTGAATAGGAAATGCGGGACGACTCACGTGATAGAAAACTCGGAAGTGCATTCGCACCCTATCAACACCTGTGAAAAATACGTCAAAAATTAGCACAAATCTATGCTTGGGAATTATTACGAAAAAACAGACTGAAGATACCAATTATCTGTAGGGAAGAGGACGACTTTTCTTCAGAAGAAGAACAGGTGTGTATGCAATCACGTGGTCATCCTATGTTTTAATCTTTTATCCAAAGGCAACAATATGTAGCATGTTTCCTCAGTTATATGTAGTGGATTGAGGAGAAATATGTAGCATGTTTCCTCAGTTATATGTAGTGGATTGAGGAGAAATATGTAGCATGTTTCCTCAGTTATATGTAGTGGATTGAGGAGAAATATGTAGCATGTTTCCTCAGTTATATGTAGTGGATTGAGGAGAAATATGTAGCATGTTTGCTCAGTTATAATTAGTGGATTCAGGAGAAATATGTAGCATGTTCCTTGGAAAGGGAATTTCGTATTTCTTCTATTTCTTTCTTTTGTGTATTGCCAGTTTTATACGGAATGGTTTTGGTTTCCAATCATTTTTTGACGGGTTTTTACGTTAGTAACTACATATTAGTCTTCACTATACGTTGTAGCAGAAATAACATAACTATATATTAGTATTAAAAATATGCCGTTGTTGAAACAGCATAACTACATAATATTCTTCAGTTTGCCCCTGAAGAAGAAGAAAGGTCCGCGTTTCGAAAGCGCTCGGGTTATAGGGTTTTAATTCATTTCTATCAAGACTTCTTGAATCTACGTGTTTTTCTAACATCGATAATATTCTTCACTGTACAATTGCCGTCAGATTTGAAATACATACCACACTTATGTACATTTATAGCAATGTTTCTTTGTTTTCTCCTATCATCAAAATTGTGAACTTCAGCGAGAGAAGAAAAAAAAAAGAGGTCTAGTCTACTTTTCAATTTTCCACCCGTAACTGAGATCGATGGTTTTCGAGGAATTTCACCCTTCACCCTCAGTAACCCAGAACGAGGGCAAATCGAAGAAAAAGATCAATTCACCACTACAACAACTGGTCTCGTTCTTCGGTTTGCCCTTATTCAGGGTCAGTGAGGAGGGGAGAATTTCCTGAACCCAATCTATCTCAGTGACAGGTGGTGAATCCACGTACAGACTGGGCCTCTCGATTCTTTCTCGCAAAAATTACAGTTTTCTTATGAGAGAAAAAAATATTCAATTTCATTAAATGGCTCGTTCGTTGAAGGGTTTAAAAGATTGAGTTAGTATCACTAATGTATCTCTGTAATATTAGGTTACTTCTACATGCGGAGAGCAAGTTATAATTCAAGCGCCGTACATACGGGTATTTAAAATGTTGCAAGAAGCTGGGTTCAATTGTTCAGTTCAATAGTTCAAATACTCTTCTTAACAATACAACATAAAACATTGTTCAGAGTTCAAATATTCTTCTTAACAATACAACATAAAAACACTGTTCAGAGTTCAAATATTCTTCTTAACAATACAACATAAAACATTGTTCAGAGTTCAAATATTCTTCTTAACAATACAACATAAAAACACTGTTCAGAGTTCAAATATTCTTCTTAACAATACAACATAAAACACTGTTCAGAGTTCAAATATTCTTCTTAACAATACAACATAAAACACTGTTCAGAGTTCAAATATTCTTTACCAATATAACATAAAACACTATTCAGAGTTAAAAGATTCTTTAGCAATATAACATAAAACACTATTCAGAGTTAAAAGATTCTTTAGCAATATAACATAAAACACTATTAAGGGTTAAAAGATTCTTTAGCAATATAACATAAAACACTATTAAGGGTTAAAATATTATTTAGCAATATAACATAAAACACTGTTAAGAGTTCAAAGATTCTTTAGCAATATAACATAAAACACTGTTATGAGTTCAAAGATTCTTTAGCAATATAACATAAAACACTGTTAAGAGTTAAAAGATTCTTTAGCAATATAGCATAAAACACTATTCAGAGTTAAAAGATTCTTTAGCAATATAACATAAAACACTGTTATGAGTTAAAAGATTCTTTAGCAATATAACATAAAACACTGTTAAGAGTTCAAAGATTCTTTAGCAATATAACATAAAACACTATTCAGAGTTAAAAGATTCTTTAGCAATATAACATAAAACACTGTTAAGAGTTCAAAGATTCTTTAGCAATATAACATAAAACATTATTTAGAGTTCAAAGATTCTTTAACAGTATAACATAAAACACTATTCAGAGTTAAAAGATTCTTTAGCAATATAACATAAAACACTGTTATGAGTTAAAAGATTCTTCTTAACAATATAACATAAAACACTATTCAGAGTTCAAAGATTCTTCTAATATCTAGTGTCTGATGAGCCCATTTCTAAACACAAGATTAGGTATTGATGATTAGGAAGCCATTGATATCTCTAGGCTAAATTAATTGTTGTTTCTTTTGTGAAAGCACTTTAAATAGGAAATTCTATAATCTCTCTTTAATCACCCAAAATTAAATATGCACAGTATCGTTTCTTGTTGTTTTTTTACTCATGTTCAATCTAATTCATTTGCAAACACCAGAAAAGCTTTATTCTATATTTAACTTTATAGAATATAGATTTCAGTATAGTCTACGATAATTGAGCTTCATAAGTAGAGAAAGAATAAAACTATTCACAGTTGCTGTCTAAACTATCAAGGATAAATCACTTAGAATGAGAGCTTACTGGCGAATACGATGTATCCTGCCTCACACGTGACCGTCGTTTTGTTGTCTATAATAGTAAACGTTACTCGGACTCTGGTGTCAAAGGATGGACTGAGTGTAATCCTTGTCAGATAATCATCTGAATCTGACTTAACCCTTTAGTGACCCTACTTATTCGGGGAAATAATTCAACCGTCCCTAATGTTTTCAATATTTCAATGACAAGTCATTTCTTGTCTTTGTGTCTTTACAATCACTGACGTCGGTTCCTTGAAGCTCTCCTCTACCGATATTTTCTACATGACGTGTTGGCGTGTTTCGGTTTGAGCCAAGCAAAGCCGATATTTGTCACAATCATATTTTGACAAGCTCTGTGAAAACCAGTAATTAGGCTATATTACGTGACAACAGGAAAAGAGTACCGGGAATAAATATAGATGGTTTGTATTATCTGTAGTTCCTCATTAGGCCTCTTTAGGACGTCCCTTCCTAAGCCTACTTACGCAC